CCGCTGCCCTCGCCGCCCTCCTGCCGCTTCCCGCCGCCCCCTCGGCCCACCGAAAGCTCCTGGTGTTCCTGCTCGACGGCTTTCGCTTCGACTACATCGATGACGGCGAGCTGGAGCATCTGCCGGGCTTTCGGGACATTGTGAACATGGGGGTGAAGGTGGATTACATGACCCCAGACTTCCCCAGCCTCTCCTACCCAAATTACTACACGCTGATGACGGGTGAGTGTTAGAATTTCTGCGCTGTCGCGGTCCTCGGAACCGCAAAGCTCCCTGTGCCGAATTGGAGGGCTTTTTCCTCCAAAGCAGATGTAAAAACAATACAAGTTATGCTTTTAGCTGGGAATTTAAAAGCACTGTGGTATTACAGCTCAGTATTGCTTCTCTGAAGCCTCCTCCAAACTTGGAAGTACTGCTTGGAGTTGATTTTTGAAGTTCCTCTTTGCTCTTCCAGGGTGTTGCTGGGTCCCTACCTGCTGCCACTGCAGCAGCACAGCCAGCTGGGGCTCCCTGGTGGGAGCACCGATGGGGTCTACTGCATATAGAACATAAAAACAAGTGGGAAACGCAGGTAAAATGAATACAGAGCCTGCTCAGGGACTTTCCAGTTAATAAAAATATGGGGAAACTGAGTGTGCCTACAATAAGAACTTCTTTTCAGTCAGCAGGTCTGTTTTGGCAAGATCAGAATTAAATTTCTTTTTAAACTTAGCAGACTTGCTGTTTTCACAGATCTCCGTCTTAACTTTGCCCTAAATTCTCATATCTGTAACAATCTGAAATCACCAAATAGAAGAACATTAAGGAATTTTACTTTAGCTCCCCTGCATTTTTTCTGAATGTCCAGGAGAGGCTTTCAGAAAATTGAGAGGGCAGTAATAGTTTTCATGATGCTGACTTGCTTTTAATCTTAAGTGGAGGATAGATGATTACAGTGACACTGGGAAGGTGCACAAGAGTACAGCTGAGCCAATCCCATCAGAGTCAGATGCTCAGGAAACAAGAGTTAAGTAAAAAAAAATAAACAGTTTTTTTTTCCCTGGAGTTTCTGGTTGCAATTTTTACAGTTGTTTTACAAGAGCTTCCACCTAATGAGGAGGAGTGAGAGAATTATCCTCTCCTAAGATATGTGGCGTCTTCTGCTATCCTTGGAACAATGCAGTGCCCAGCGATCCGTATACTGCTTGCTGGGAAAGCAAACAGATGCCATTGTAAGACCAAAATCTGACATCAGTTGTGCCCAGCTTGTTTTGAAACTGCTTAACCCCTTCTTCCCTCTCTCTCAAGAGAAATGCATTTCTCTCACTCATCTCTGAACAGAAATGAGTACAAAACCACCACATGTTGGTTTTTTCCTTGACTTGGTGCAAACGCAAGTGAATGCAGCGCAAATATAGTGACTGGAAATAGTGGTGGTGTTCCACTCCAGACCATGTTCTTCAGGTGTATGTGGGCAAACCAGCCTAACACTTCATGGCTGCAAAAAGTCTTCAGATGGAGTTGTTAAGGAGAAGAGGGAAAGTGAGTGACTGCTTTCACTCCTTACCATGTTTAATCATCGTTCCTAGTAAGTGCATATGCATAACTGAAGTCTATAATCAGGCTTTTGAGAAGTCTGGGAAACATCCTGCTTTGTACTTACAAAGAAGGAGTTTTGTTTAAGGTGATGAAACAGTACTGCTAGACTTTTCACATTTTTGGGGTACTAGAGTTCTACACCCCAGCCTGAAGCAACGAGTGAATCTGTGAGACCAAACATAACTCTTCTTACAAGTCTCTCAGGTTTTATGATAAGGATATCAATGCAAATACAACTTAATTGCAAATAGCAATTCACCTTCCTAACATGAGTCACAGTAGTGTTATATAGGTCAGGAACCAATGGAAGACAAAGTTTAAGTGGTGAACATGCCCAGAGGAGACTCAAGACTGCACTTGAGCCCTTGGAATGTTAGTGGACCCCATGGCTGTGTCCTGGCATGACAGCAGGATAAATCCCATGGCTGCACTGTTCTTACTGCTTGGGGCCATGGTGCTGTCTCCACAGAAAGGTGATTTTGTGTGATGGTGTGATTTGGAGTGTGAGGCACATGGCAGATGCAGCATTAGCTGTATTCACTCTGTGCATGTTCAATTCACAAACCTGGGACAGTTTTTGGAGAAAATGCAGCATGGCAGGGTGACAGGAGTATCATGTTGTAGTGACCTGCTTAGGGACTGGCAAGCTACCATCTCCCTAGCGCTGCTGTATGGGCATGGGGAAACTTGCATCGTGTCTTACCAGTCATGCATCTCCTCTGCTGGGGGGAGATACAACTGTAACTGGCTTTGTTTCCATTTGCAACCGGGATATCTAGAAGTTAAATGCTGCCACAGTTTCATCTGGGAAATCAAGGACAAACTATTTTTCATGTCTTATCCTACACTGCTGCTTCATGAGCTGTTAAGAAATTTGCATTTTAACCTCCAAAATGTTGTATTTTAGCATTGTGGATGTGGATTTGTAGTATATTAGCTTCTTGCAGCTAAATCAGCTTAACAAATTTCTGGCCCCACCAGCACATTCCCACCCATAGTTTGTTCATTATATCCCACTTTTCTGGGTTTTTGTTTGTTTGTTTGTTTGTTTGTTTGTTTGTTTTTTAATAAATACTCCTAACCCTACTTTCTCTGCTCATTCACAAGGCATCATGGCTCTGCATTCCATCAGGAGTGTACACAGCTGCCAGGTCTAGGACAGTGTGGGCATGAAAATACTGCAGTTGGGATGTATTTCTCTCTTGCCTCTATTCAGTCATGTGAGCAAGGCCTCTCCTTTCTGTCTGCTGCCCTTCACTCCACATCCATGCAACTTCATGACTCCAGAGAGCTTTAGTTGTTATTAAATGAGAGAAGTTCTCCCTCATTTTGGTGGCTTTGGGGGAGCACAGTGGACTCTGCTCCTTAGATACCATCACTATTGGTATAGGTAAGTCTCCTCTAGTGTGAACTCACTTCCTCCTCCTGCCCACTCCTGCATGCAGAGGTTATGGAATTCAGCAGCATCGAGCCCACTGCCTCTCAGTGCAGATGCCAAACTGCATCCTACAGCCCTGCCAAAGCACAACTTTCCTCTGCAATGGGCAGCTAGCAAGCAATAGCATGGCTGCCCAATTATCTGCAGAATCAGTCATTGTATTTTACTTTACCAATGATTTCAAGAGGGCAGCCTGACTGAATTTAATATTCGTGGAAATGGCAAGCGTGCTGAGATTTTCAAAGCTATAACCAAATAGATGCCACTGTAACTGATGACCAAGAGCCACATATCTAAAAGCAACTAACTAAAGTATGTTAATGAGAAGCACACCCCATTTTGCTGACATGAGGTGCTAGGTGAAGCACCAACACAGTGGGACCAAAAAGGCCCAACCTGGGTAACAAAAAAGATAAAAGTGCTGCAGGGTGATGGCAGAGCTCTTCATGGGTCCCCCTCCTGCTTTTATCTGTTGCTGCTGTTAACCTATGAGAAGATATTTGCTGGAGCTTTCCTAAGGGACACAAAATGCCAGCCCGAAGCCCAGGACCTGTGCAGAGGTCTTTTCTGTTCCTCCACACCTACAACAATTATAAGAAAGAAAACCAAAGCACAGAAACAAGAAAAACACTAATGGTTTGGCTTCTTCATGTAAAGTCACCCAATGATTCAGAGCTTGGGAAGAAACTCCAGTCTCCCTGCATGCTGGGGCGTGATATCATGATCTGCTATTTGCTTGAAGAAGGACCAAACAAAAGCCAAGTCGCTGCTGGTGCAAAGGTTTCTCACTGTTGTGCAACTGGAAAAGTTTTGTTAAAGAATCAGGTGCTGTGCAAGGTAGCCCAAGGATGTGCTGGCTTAAAATCTGACTCTTGGAAGAACAGTCTTCTCTAACAACTTCATATATACCATGTTTCTCAGGTTTTGCTTCCATAGTGGCATAAAGTCTTGTTCTTGTCTGGGTTGCTTTCTGAGCTTCTAGACTGAATACTGGTGTCCTAGCTCTCCGTGCTCCAGTTATATTGCAGTTGTTGACCTGAAATACATGAAATGGAGAATTAGGTAAAAGGATATGTTGCTGCTGACATGTGCGAGTGCTTTTCAGGACTCTACGTGGGCTAGGCAAGGGAGGGGAGAGAGTCCAAGTATGCATATCCCAAAAGGCTCCCTTAAACCCAGCATGTGTTGTTTTGCAAGGGAAGGAATTAAGACCACAAGCCACCTTGGGTTGTTATCTTGTGTGGAGTTTTTAATTTTTCCTTTTCCCTGCTGTGGCCTGGCTGTGCAGGGAGCTATCACGCCAAGTTTGGTGGAAAGTCTGAGGTCTTCCCTGTAACTGCTGCAAGCCTAAGTTATTGCTTCAGAGCCCTCAGTGCCATATCTGTTGAGTAAAGCTGCTCATGCTGAGCGTTTAAGTCTCCCTCACCTGCCAACCTGCAGGTTGGAGGGGTACTGGGGGACCCCCTGCACTCCAACTCCCCCGAAGACCCCCCAGCTCAGGGCACTCAGAGGCCCCTTATATTTCCAGCCCCAGCGAGCATGAACACAGGCAGACAGTATCACATCTGAGCTGGAAACCCAGAGATGGTTTATTTTCCAAGATCCTAACAACAAATGAGGTCTTTCTGGCAGGTCCTTCATGAGGATGTGCCAGCTGTTCAGTCAGCAGTGCAGCCCCATGTCCAAGAGCCATATTTCTCTTGGCCTCCATGGGAAGCAGAGGGAGTCCCTGATTGCAGAGGTGGGTGGGTGGGGAGCTGCTTGGAGATGAGCCAGAAAGGGGCCTCCGTGTACCTCTTTGGACAGGATTTGATCTTAAAAAAGTGGCAGAGAGGCTGTGAGGTCCCATGAAGCTAGCAGGATTGAGGAGGAGGTTGAACAGGGGCATTTCAGCCTCCTGCACCCAAAGCAAAGGCTCTGCCCTTTGCAGGGCTGTCCCTCACTTGCTCCAACACGGTGATGGCATGTTTGGGGCTTCTCTAAAATACAGGGGTGGTGTGTGATGTTTCTTCAGCCGTTGTGACTCAGCCCTGCATATGCCATTGCCTCCTCCTCTGCGTGGCTGGAGGAAAAGGGGCAACATGGCAGAGATCCTAGGGATGGGTGACATCAAGGTCTACTCTGCCAGACTGAAGGTTTCACCAATCTTCCATGTTTCAGTCATCTTCCCTCCACTCCTTACTCTTGATGTGGCATATTCAGTTGC